GAAAAACAATTATCTTCTCTTGAAAACAACTATCTTCTCTCTAAAAGGAACTATTTTCTTAAAAAATCAAAACTAGAAAATGTATGTAGAGAAAAACAGGAAAGAACATGGAGAACATCTGTACAAGTGATCTTCACTGGGAGGAGGGTGCACATCCTGCTGGGATTGATCACAAGATCCAGACTGCAGGCAGAGTCAGGACTGAGGGATGTCACAGGGAGCAGGTGGGGACACTCCACAGGGAGCAGGGTGAAGGGTTTTTCCTCGAGAAAAAGTTGGTCAGGGCAGAGGGAGCACTGGGAGCTGCTGACCCTTCGCTGGTAGCAGGGGAATGGCTGCGCTGTGCTCGTCGCCGGGCACTGGCACTTCCACATGGAACACGGGACAGCTCTGGCAGCTGGGATGTCACAGGAGCTGTGGGGCCACTCCATAGTAGGGGATGGGGATCATGGAATGATGGAATTCTTGAATGGTTTGGCTTGGGAGGGACCCTACAAATCATCTTGTTCCACCCTGACCAGGTTGCTCAGGGCCCCGTCCAACCTGGCCTTGAATGTTCCCAGGGATGGGGCATCCACAACCCCTCTGCACAGCCCCTGCCAGGGCCTCACCACCCTCACAGGAAACAACACAGCCCTAACATCAAATCTAACCCTCCCCTCTGGCAGTTTGAGCCCATTCCCCTTGTCCTGTCACTGCAGTTCCTGACCAAGAGTCCCCCTCCGGCTTCCTTGGAGGCCCCTTCACCCACGGGAAGGTTTCTCCGAGGTCTCCACACAACCTTCTCTTCTCCAGGCTGGACAGCCCCAGCTTTCCCAGCCTGTCTGCAGAGGGAGGTGCTCGAGTCCCCTGAGCCCCTTGGGGGCCTCCTCTGGCCTCGCTCCAACAGTTCCTGGCCTTGTTGTGTCAGGACCCCAGAGCTGGAGGCCGCACTGCAGGTGGGGTGTGCTGAGAGCGGAGCAGAGCGGCAGAACCCCCCCTGCCCTGCTGCCCCCAGGGCTGGGGATGAGCCCAGGACAGGGGGGTGTCTGGGCTGAGAGGGCACATTCTGTGTGCCTGGATAACAATGATAACCTGTGAGATGTCTTACACAAGGACAACAAAACTGCCAATATGTAAGATATATATAGAGAATTTATTTTTGTTATAAAAATTTTCTTTTAAAAGCAGTATTGTTCTTTATAAAAAACAAGTTTTCTTAATAACAATAATATTCTTATAAAAAACTGTCTTCTTAAAAAAAACTATCTTCTTAATTAAAAACTATCTTCTTAATAAAAAGCTACCTTCTTAATGAAAACTATCTTCTTACAAAAAATGTGTTGTTAATAAAAACTGTCTTCAAATTAAAAACTATATTTTTATAAAAAACTATTTCTTAAAAAAACAACTAACTTCTTTATAAAACCAACTATCTTCTTCAAATATCAAAAATATAAAGCGTATGTACAAAACCAGGAAACAACATGTAAAACATATCCAACATTGCTGATTCCATGGTTGGCATGTCTGTCAGTGCTGGAAGCAAAGCAAGGGCACGGTCAGTGCAGTCGGGCCCTGCTGGGTGTTCCCTGTGCCCCCAGCCTGGCACACGCTGGGCACAGCGGGACTCTGGCGCCAGGCCTGAGCCCGGCTGGGGATGGGAGCCGGGCCCCAGGCACTGGGACGTGGCTTGTGTGGCCCAAAGCAGGCACAGGGCAGGCCGGGGGTGGGGGTTGTGCCACCAGAATCCCGGGCACGGGGCACCGTGTCCCTGAGCGGGACCACCCAGCCCAGTCCCAGCCTGGGGGCAGTGACCCCCTGTCCCTGAGGCAGGGCATGGCCAGGATGGGCCTGTCCTGCTGCTGGGGGTCTTCATCCCAGCTACCATGTCCTGCTCCTCATCTTCCTGCTCAAGATCCATCTCCTCCTCTGTGTCCTCCTCCAGATCTATCTCTATCTCTCCCTGCACATCCTCCTTCAGATCTATTTCCATCCTTTCCTCACTATCCAATCCCATATCGATTTCCATCTCCTCTCCCGTGTCTCTCTCAGCTGCATCAGGGGCACAATCTCAGAATGAACTCTCTGTCCCCCACCATCCCCACAGAGCTCCAGCCCCCCGGGCGGTCGAGGGGTGCCCACCTGCATGGAACGGCCCCGTACCTTCCTCAGGACGAGGGAGCATCCTGCTGGGATGGGGGACAAGATCCACACAGCAGCTGCTGTTCAGGACTGCTGGGGATTGAAGGGAGCAGGGCAGGACAGTGTGCTGGGAGCAGGAGGAAGGGTGGTCTCTGAGCAGGGGGAAGGGCTGTCTCAGAGCACAGCCAGGGTTGGTCAGTGCAGAGGCTGCACTGGGAGCTGCACAAAGGTGTGATGGCAGCAGGGGAATGGCTGCGCTGTGCTGGGTGCTGGCCATTCCACATGGAACACGGGCACAGCTCTGGCAGCTGGGATGTCACAGGAGTTGTGGGCATGGGGACCAGAGAATGATGGAATCCTTGAATGGTTTGTCTTAGAAGGGACCCTAAAAATCATCTCATTCCAACCTGAGCAACCTCCCACCACCCCAGGTTGCTGAGGGCTCCATCCAACTGGCCCTTCAACGTTCCCAGGGATGGAGCCTCTCAGGCACTGCCTGTGCCAGTCCCCTCCAGCCTCACTGGAAGAAAACATCTCCCTCAGATCGACCCTAAATCGCCCTCCTTCAGTTCAAACCGTGCCCCCTTGTCCTCTCCCCACAGGCCCTGCTGAACACTCTGTCCCAGCTTTCCTCTGGGCCCCTTCAGCTCCTGCCAGGCCGCACTGAGGCCTCCCCGGGGCCTTCTCTTCTCCCGCCTCAGCAACCCCAACTCTGGCAGCCTTTCCTCAGGGCACAGGGGCTCCAGCCCTCGCAGCACCTCGCAGGCCTCCTCTGCACTCTCTCAGCAGCTCCATGTGCTGCCTGTGCTGAGCACTCAGTGCTGGAGGCCGCCATGAGCCCTGCAGGGGCTGCAGCTTCCTGGGGAACAGTGGGGAATGGGGGGTTACCCCTGCAGAGGAAGCAAACACACTTTTGTGCTTAGAGAAAGGCAGGAAGATGCTGCTGGTTCTTGGTGGAGTGTGCAGGGACGTGTCAGGAGCAGGTCCTGTGTGTCCCTGTCCCAGCACACAGCCCAGAGCAGCTCCATGGGGCGCCTGGGCCGGGCCGCGGGTCCATCCCCAGCTCAGCTCACAGATCCCTGTGTTCCAACAAGCACAGGCTCCAAAGCAAACCCTGCCCATGGGGACACGGCGTCCTTGCCATGCTGGCTCCCTCCAGCTGAGCCTGGGCCTGCAGCAGCCCGGCTTGCTCACCCAGCAAAGATTTCCCCAAAGGATTGGTGGAGCCTGAGCACAGCAGACCTTGCAAAAGCCAGAGGCCCCGTCCTGATGCCTCTGGGACTCTGAAGCCCTGCTGAAAGGAGAGGCACGGGGCATACAAATCTTCAGGGGTTTATTGTCAGGAGAGAAATTCCTTTATAGGAAAGATGAGTTTCAAAACAGCACTGCTCTGCCCTTAAAATTAAATGTACACAGATATACACACACACACATATTGATAGAGTAATGACCATTTTGCTGTGTGATTATAAACCCAAACAAGGTAATACCGATTCCCAAACTATTCTGCCCAACCAGAGCAAGGGGATCTGACAATTCCTGCCACCTGCTGTCCCAGGGAGCCCACCTGGGCACCATGGCAGAAGCGGGACAGGCATTGCTGGCCCTGCCTGTGCCACCCGCCTCTTCTTGCCCCACCACTTGGCAGCAGATGCTGAGACAAGAGGAACTCTCAGGGTGGCACCACTGTAGGTTTTTCCTCTTGCAAAGCAGCTTGCCAGGCTCTGGGGGGGCTGTGCAGGGCTGGACCATCCTGGTTGTTCTGTGGAAATGTTATAAAAGGCCGGGTGTTACATCTGCCCAAAGACCTGCCTGGCCACACAGTCATCTCCCCTCATCCCAGACCTTCCAGCTGGGAGGAACGAGGCAACAGCCATGGGTGAAAGCCCTTGGCTTCACAGCAGAGGTTTTGATCAAGGTCCTTTTGGCTGCAGCCCTCTGCCAGGATCCCTTCTTGTGGCCAATCTGCTTTTCCAAGTCTGCAAGTGTGGCCTCACCTGAGCAAGTGAAGGTGCTGAGGAAACAGCATGAGCCGGATGGGGTGGGGGGCAAAGAGCTTTTAGCCCTTGAAGAAGCCTAAAATTCTGCCCTGCCCTGTTAACTGTCCCTCCTTCCCCAGGTGGGCTCTGTCCCCAGTGCCCTGCACCCAAGCCAGCCCAGGCTTCCCTAGAAAGGATCTTTTTCTCAGTCAGGCTCTGCAGGATGGCCACAGTGTTCGTCTGGAACTGCCCCAGCGCCTGCACTCGCACGGGCTGCGGATCTCTGTGTGCCCTTTGCCTTCCTCTGGGATGGGGGGTTTGGCTGCAGTCAGAGCCACAGCCCCACAGTGCCCCATGGCTCTGCCTTGTTCTGTACAACTGCCTTGTCCCTACAGCCCCCCACCAGCACTGGATCTGAGCCTCAGGGCTCTCCCCAGTATTTTACCCTTTTTTTTTCAGCCACTCTCTTTTTGCCAGGCTGCATCCAGAGAATCCACAAACCTCCTAAGAGACTCTCCTTATAAAGGCCATGTTCTCATAAACCCCATAAACATTGTTGCCTAAAAGGCTGCAGAGGAAAAAAGACTCCAGGCAAAACGAGGTAGGAGGTCAGAAAAGCAGCAGAGGTTTCCATGAGCCTCCAAGATCCAGGAATACAAACACACCCACGTCCCTTCCAGCACAGGGGTTACAGTTTTTATAATGATTTCCACCCAATGCCCGTCCCGTCCCCGCCCCGGTTCTGCCCCGCTCTGCCCCAGGAACGCCCGTGGGGAATTGAGTCTGGGGGAGTTTGGAGCTTTGAGCCGCTGCAACTACAACTCCCGGCGTGCCCCGCGCGGAAAAGGGGGCGGGGCGGGGTCTCTGCCGGCGGTGCGCGCGCACAGCCCCGCGGTGGCTGCCGGGAAAGCGATGGCGGCGACAGCGGAATCTTCGACTCTGTGAGAGCTGGCGGGGCCTGCGGTGAGTCTGGGGATGCGCTCGGGGGCTGCGGGGAGCGCGGCTGTGGGCGGGAAGGCTGGAGGGCTCGGCAGAGTGGAGAGGAGGGGCTCGGGGGCTCCCGAGGAGGTTTTGAGGTCCGTGAGGGGCTGTCGGGGGGTCGCAGAGGGGATTTGGTGTCCTGAGGGCGCTCAGAGGGGAGGGTGAAGGTGCCTGAAGGGGTTTAGGAGGTCCCTGAAAGGGCTGGGGCCATGGAACCCCCTCAGGAGAGAGGTTTAAACGCCATGGCTGCACTGCGCAGGCGCCGGCGGAGTCCCCATGAGCAAACTACAACTCCCAACAGGCCCAGCGCGGCGCCGCCATTGCCGGTCGTGCCACAGCGCCCCCTGCCGGCTGGGCGGACCGACCGCAGGGAAAGCGGTTCCTGATGCCCCCCCACCCCGAACCCCAGAGACCCCCAACACTCAGCGCACAGAGACGCCACAGGGAGGGGATCCCGGGGGTCCCCTAAAGCCCAGCAGTGGGGTTCAAGGGGTCTCCAAGCCCTCAGGGGAGGAGTCCTAGCAGTACCACCCAAAGTCTTGTGAGGGAGATGAACCACATGTGGGTAAGGGGATCCCAGTGCCCACAGTATATCCCAGTGACCTCCCAGTGGCTCTCAGTATGGTCCAGTAAACCCCCAGTGACCACCCAGTGTTTCCCAGTGACCTCCCTCTACCCCTCAGTGTGGCCCAATGATCCTGCAGTGAGCACCCAGTAACCCCCAGTATGGCCCAGTAACCTCCCAGTGTCCCCCCGTGTGTCCCGGTAGTCCCTCAGTAATCACCCAGTCCCTCCCAGTGCCCTCCCAGCATCCCTCAATAACCCCCAGTCCCTCCCAGTGCCCCCTGGTTCCCCCAGTGTGTCCCAGTATCCCCCACTACCCACCCACTACCCCCAAAAGCCCCCAAGTATCCCCAGTGTCTCTCCACATGTTGTTGAATTTTCTGTGAGTGTGAAGGGGGAATGGAGGTTGGTCTGGGGTCAGAGGGTCCAGAGGGGGCTCCTGGTAGGTGATAAAGGTTTGGAGACATGTAGGGTGGGGTTTGGGGACAGTGGAATTGGGGGTGCCAAGGGGAGGCCCTGAGGACATTGGGGACACCAGGGGGATCTCAGGACTCACCTGCTTGTGGTGCTGCCCCTCCTCTCCCACCCAGGTGCCCCTGAGCAATGGCCCGGAGGTGAGCCCAGAGCTGGCCCTGAGGTGGCCCTGAGAAGAAGTGGAAGGCAGAGGTGGTGCTGAGGCAGGAGAGCCCCGTGCTGGGGAAGAGGCTGAGCTGGGAGTGCCCAGCAGCGAGAAGGTGCTGTGTCCATGCCCTGTGTGCCAGGTGAGCTGGGGCTTTGCTGCAGAGCTGCGGGCGCTGATTGGAGCGGCTGCAGCTGCTGAGCTGGTGGCACCCAGGAACACAAAGTGTGCCCGGCCACGGAGCCTGCAGGGAGGAGCAGGGACAGGGTCAGGGGAGCTCTGGGGGGCCGGGAACCTCTTGGCTGGGGCAGGAAAGAGCCGCTGGCCACGAGGACGGGGTGTTGGTCCCAGGCACTGATGGGGCCGAGCAGAGCACGAGGCCTCTTGCAGACACCTGGAGCAGCCTCCCACTTGCCAGCCCTGCCTTCGTGGGGTGACACTGTCCCCTCCCTGCAGGACACTCCCCCTGAAATCCTTGGGTGGGCCTTTTATGTCTTTTGCTGGTTACTGCTTCATCCTGGGGACCTGAGGGCCCCTCTGCAATCCCATCCCTGGGGCACAATCTGCTCTCCAGATGAATCTGAGAAATCCAGTAAAGAAAGTGCCCAGAAGCTTTTTGTCTTTTGAGCAGCAAAGGTGTTTATTTGTGGACATCGGGAGCAGGCGGGGTTCGCACCACAAAGCTCTTGCTCGAAGGTGTCGGTACAAAACAGGGTAATTTATACAGTGTAACTTCTATGATTGCAACATCTTAGATACATATTCATATGATTGCAACATCTAATCATTGATGTTGATAATAGCTGGAGTACAGGCAGAGCTCAGGCTGAGCTTGGGGTGGAGCTTTTCTTGGCCCTCAGTTCTGGGGGTTCATCCCCCTTTCTTCATCATCGGGGCTGGGGTCTCTGCAGTCTTCCTCACTGTGACCTCTCTAACTTTCCACTGTCTTTGCCCCAGTCACTGAAGCTTGGAGAGAGCCTTGGCTTTAGGCCTATTCAAATGTCTCCCTTGGCTGACTTTGCCTTAATTTCGGGCCTACACACCCATTGTAGAATGTTTCCAGCCTTCTTTAGATTATAAGGTCCAAGGAACGGAACAGAACAAATTTTTCTTTAGTAATTTAGGCAGAGCAGGTATGGGGGGGCTTCTCTCAGCTGAGCAAGATATTTCAGGTAATTCTTTAGGCCTTGCTCTTGTTTCAAGGGGGAATGTCTGGGAAGGCAGCACCCCAAAGGGGAGAGTCAGAGGAGAAGGGACCCTTGGGACCCCCAACAATCCCAGCATCCCTAAAGCGGGATCCCCAACATCCCAGACAGAGGAGACCCTCGGAACCCCAGAGGGGGAGACCAGAGAGAGGGAACTCCTGGGAGAGATCTTTTGGGCTCATCTTCATAACTTGGAGTATATTTCAGCTGAATCTCAACTTCTTGCAGTTTGGGGGTCGGGGGTCTTCTTGCTATTTCTCAGGGGTTTTTGCCTGAATCTTGGTGGTTTGGGTTTTTCTGGGCTGAATCTTGGTGTTTTAGAGGTCCCCCAGAACCCTGAAGTTGAGAGATGGGGGAGCCTTGGGTTCCTGGGACCACCAGCAGCCTGGACAGGGCAGGGACCCTGTAGAGGGGAGACCCCAAATACACACAGGACTCCCAGCAGCCCGGACAGGGGGGACTTCCAGAATCCCAAAGTGGAGAGACCAGAGAGAAGGAGCTCCTGGCTGGGGTTATTTGGGCTGAGTCTTGGTATTTTGGAGGTTTTTATGGTCCCAGGATGCCCAGTGAGTTCTAGAGATGGACTTGGGCAGGAGGAACCCCCAAGCCAATGCACTCAGCCCTTGTTTCCCCCCAGCAGGATTTGTCCTTCCCAAAGCTTGGGCAGATGGAGGAGGAGGCTGCGAGGAAGCTGCCGTGGGCCCCCAGGCAGGTGAGGAGGAAATCAGTGCCCCTTTGGCCCTGTCTTGTAATGCCTGTGGGGACCAGATTTGGGGGGGATGTCCTTGGGCTTCCCTCTGGGCCAGAGGCAAATTCCCTGCCTGTCCTTCTTCCTTCCTGCCCCAGGCCCCGAGCTGAGGACGGAGAGCACGGAGGACAAATTCCCCCGGCAGAGCCTGGTGGGAGAGGCCGTTTTGAAGGGCTCCCTGGCACAGGAAGGCAGCGGGGAGGAAAAGGCCTGGAGATGCCCCCGGAGGAGGGCCTGCAAAGCCAACCCAGGGAGCTCTGAGGAGGAAAGACCCGTCCTGTGCCAGGAAGGCGACCGGAGCTTGAGCCAGAGCTCTGAGCTGGTGGTCCCTGAGCAGCCTCCCAGCAGGGAGAAGCCCTTCAGGTGCTTGGAATGTGGGAAGAGCTTCAGGCAGAGCTCCAAGCTCCTCACCCACCAGCTCATCCACACTGGGGAACGGCCCTACACCTGTCAGGAATGTGGGAAGAGCTTCAGGCAGAGCTCCACCCTCCTCAGGCACCTGCACATCCACACTGGGGAACGGCCATACGAGTGTGGAGAGATGTGGGAAGAGCTTCAGGCACAGCTCCAACCTGCTCACAACCACCAGCGTCATCCACACTGGGGAACGGCCCTACAAGTGCTTGGAATGTGGGAAGAGCTTCAGAGCCAGCTCCAACCTCTGCCTACCTGCATGAGCTCGGATCCACACACAGTGAACGACCCTACAAGTGCTTGCAATGTGGGAAGAGGTTTCAGACCAGCTCAACTCTCCTCCTGCATGAGCGGATACACACAGATGAGAGGCCCTTCCGCTGCACCGACTGCGGGAAGGGCTTCAACCAGAACTCCACCCTCGTCACCCACCGGCGCATCCACACCGGGGAGAGACCCTACAAGTGTGGGGAGTGTGGGAAGAGCTTCAGCCACAGCTCTACCTTGACCAAACACCAACGGACCCACCAGTAAGAGAAGCCCTCGAGTGCCCCAACTGCGGGAAGAGCTTTGTCTGCTGCTCCCACCCCAAATGACCCCCTGATGGTGAGGCAACCCCTGGAGTCCAGTGACTGTCAGTCCATCCCTTTCCACCAGAAAGGACCAGTCCCCTTTGCCAGGGGCAGGTTGTGCCAACAGAACCCTTCTTGGGGGGTGTGTGGAGATTCCTGCCTTGGCTGGGACCCC